GGACCCTCCCCGGGCACAGACGAGCGCTCAGGCGTCGGAGCACAGATCTGGGGGGGCATCCGGGAGGCCTTGTCAGCCTCATGCCCATGTCGGGTCGCCCCACAGCTCGGCACACCCCCGGGAGCCGAAGCTGGAGCCTCTGCGGGGCCTGATGAGCTGTCTGTCGAGCGGCCTGGGCCCCGTCCCCCAGCGCTCGGGTCTCGCCCTCCCCCGCCGCACACCCGCCGCCACTGCCCAGCCAGCCAGTGCATTAAAGATTTAACCGAAGGCACCGTGCTTCCCTCCTGACTGCCGCCGCCGCCGCCACGTGTAGGCTGGGAGCCCCTCCACGTCTAGTTTCCTGTTATATCTGAGGGTCCCTCCTCGGGGTCAGGCCCTCGTTACTGCCGGTGACTGCCCTGCACCCCCTACAGCTGCATTCCTCCCTGAGTAGCCTATATGGAGGGTCGGTCTTCCTCCCAACTTCATTCCCACATTCCTGTGTTCTCGCAACCCCAGCTGTCTGTCTGCTACCACCTTCCTCCTGGCTAAGGCTTTGCCAGATCTTCTTTTCCTGGGAGTGGATCTAAAAGATCTTAAGCCCAGGGTTGTGGACGTAGGCTGTGAGGGGAGGGGAGGAGTCCTAGAAGCTGCCTCCCTCAGCCCGCCATCGGGAAGAAGAGCCTTAGGACTGTTGGAGGGCTTTCCCTATAATGAATACCCCAACTTCCAGCTCCTCCAGTCTGATCCCAAGTTTAAAGACACTTGGCATCACCCCACCTAGAAGTTCTTACTCCTCCTTAGGAGAACCTAAGGGCCACTGTTTCCTGTCATCCCTTTCTCTCTCATCACCCAGTTGACCCACGTCTCCTAAAGTGCTGAGGGTCAGGGACTCCAGTAGGCCAACACCCCCATCAGTTAGGGACTGGCCCCCGCACCAGGAAGGGCACTAAAGGATTAAGTTAAAGAGACAGCCCAGTTTGTGGGTTGGGGGCAAAAGCTAACTTTCAGCCTGGGGCTGCCCCTGCCACAGCAGGTTGTGGCTGAGGAGACCTGGCCCTATCTATGGAGAAGCCGAAGGGAAGAGATGGGTACGTGCCTGGAAGAATTCATCTTTTGCCTTCTCAGGTCTCTGGACTGACTGGTCCAAGAGAGACCACAAAGTGTATGACAGACAGACAGCTGACGCAGATCTGTGACAAGACGATGGCACCTCAATCACTGCACCCAAGCTCTGGGCCACAAGTCCAGGCTGCAGGGTGGAGAGAGCCCCTAAGGCCTCTGGCACTAGAAGTTCAAGATGTCTCTGGGTTGTGTCCACCTTCAGAAATGGACCCCGGGTTTTGAGCCATTTTATCACAAGGTCTACATCAAGAACCCTATCCAAAGGGGAGCACCCTGTCTAGCCCTGGGCCTATACCTCACCAGGAACCGGTCAGAATTCCTGAGTATCCACAAGGCAAATTCCCCGGAAGGGCCTTCAAGTTCCACCCTGGACAGGAGGGAGAAGCTCCAGTTGTCCAGCCTGAGAGGGGGACTAGTTTCTGCCCTTGGAGCCGGCGGTCCCTCCTGATTGCTGCAGCAGAACGAGATGCCCAGCAAAGGTGTGAGTCCCTGGGCCAAGAGAAGGCCTGCCCCATCGAAGGCTAAAACAGCGGAAATGCTCCAGACGGCACTCCTGCAACAACTAGATAAGGACTTGATTACTGGGTTATGACTCAGTTTATATTTTAAATACTGAGTAGGACTTGAGGATTGAAATCTCCAGACCTGGTGTAGGAAATTCTTCAAGTTGCCAGGGGCACTGAACACCCTAGGCAGTTCTCAGCTTCCTGGAAAGGACAGGAGGAGGAGGAGGAGGCGTTTTTTTCTGAGGGGTCAGGGGAAGCTGGGAGTGAGGGCTGGGTATGGGATTAGGAGAGAAGGGACAGGAAGTAGATGGGAGCTTGGGGCATTAGCAAGAAGATGGGATGCAGAGGGCGTACGTGTTCATGGGTATTACTGAGCCTGGGTGGGGGAAGGGAACGTTTTTCCAGGCCCACAGTGGAGAGAAGCTAGAATTTGAATAGAACAAAAGAGAAGTAATTGAGCTCTCAAGTCTGATGTCTTGGTAAGCCAAGGAGGGACTGAGTATGGAAACCCCAGGCCAGGCCCCTTTTGACAAGAAGCTGGCATTTCTGGGACAGGACTAGGCAAAAACAGAAAGATAAGATTTCTTGGTGTTTTTCTTTACCTTAGCAGCAACCTGGCACCAAAGAACTTTTATCTTCCCTCGTCTGCCCTCCTTACCCACCCAACCCCTTCCTTCCTGTCTCATCTTGCCAGGGAAAGCAGCTTCCACCTCATCATCTCCAAGGCACCCCAAATACCACCAAAAAGGGCCTTTCCCAGCTTCTCTGAATGTGACTGGCCACCGCCAAGACTCTGCCTCAGCCAGACACGCCGGCTGAGGGACCTGTTTCCATCTATTTCTCCTGATAAGATCAGCAGGCTAGGACAGGAAGTGGGGAGGGGAAAATGAAGGCAAATTGTGCTGGCTTGCCCTCTGCTCCACCCTACCCACAACACCCCCATCAGAATTTGTGTGTGCTAGTCTGACTGGAGTATTGTGAAAACAGCTGTGTGGCAGTGGGATTTCGAGTATAATTGGGGCTGCATAATTCTATCTGTGGTTGTCTGACCATGTGAGGTTGATCGAGTGAGGTGTGACTGTGAATGTGTAGCTATGGGTATATGCGTGTGAATGTCCATCATTGGATGCCACTGAGGATTCTTGGCTGCTCTTATTCAGTCACTGTACCTTCAGGCCCCACATCATGCACTGTCCCTCTCCTCAGCTTCTCTGCCCAGGGCTTAGGAGCCCATGGGAAAAGGCTTTCCTAAAAGAGGAAGGGGGTTCTGGCATAGGGGTCTGTGGCAACCAGAGCCCAGGAGTGTCACCGGATGAGAAATCCATCTTCATCTGCCTCTGACTCACCTGGTGCCCCAGGTTAAAGGTATCCAGATAAAAGATAGGGGAGAAGGAGGAAAGAGAGAGAGAAGTATCCAGGCTGCGCAGCATGAAGGAACCCTCACCCACCATCAGCCTCCTGCTGCTACTGTTGCTTCTGATCCCAGACTCGGGAGCAGGTCAGTGCTTGGGAGTTCAGAAGGCCAGGGATCTGGGTGAATGGGATGGAGGGAAAAGGGGCTCAGGAAGTCCAGCTTCCAGCTGTCTGATTGAGGGGTTTTCGGTCAGGAGCCCTCTGAACATGTGGCCCCATTATCCCCTAGCAGCGCTACTGCCATCCAGCACTACCTGCTGTACCCAGCTCTACCGACAGCCACTGTCAAGAAAGCTACTGAGGAAGGTCACCCAGGTGGAACTGCAGGAGGCTGATGGGGACTGCCACCTCCAGGCTTTTGTGTGAGCTCTGGCCCTGCCCTTGATACTGATCCCTGACTCAGACCCCAGTCCCAATCCCTGATGCAGATCCCAACCCCAGCCCCAACTGCTAATTCTGATGCCAAGTCAGGTTGTCATCTGGCCTCTGCCCCTAACCCCTGCACCCTAACCTAATCTGCCAACTATGACCATGGCTTTGGGCCTTTCCTTTCCCAGTCTTCACCTGTCTGGACGCAGTGTCTGCATCCACCCCCAGAACCGCAGCCTGGCTCGATGGTTTGAGCGTCAAGGAAGGAGGTTCCAGGGGACTCTGCCCAACCTGAATGTTGATCTAATAGGGAAAATGGGCCAGGCCCCCCAATAGCCAAAATAATAAAGCTGTATTGAACAATAATCTCTGGTTGTGGTCTCCAAGTTCTATGTATTCTCGCATGAGCCCTGAATCTGAAGCTGGGAGACATGTCAATAAACAAAGAACCTCCTCATTCTCTTTATTCACACCTTCACAACCCCCACCAGGGGCAAGGCTAACAGCCAAGGACCCACACACACTCCCCAGATATCTACATACATACATGCAGAGAACACATGTTCCCTGCCTCACATACACATGGGCACATATGGACACAGATATTCACATCTATAAACATTCCACTGGTGGACCTCTAGCTCTGGGATAAAATCAGAGGCCCAGGTACCTTTCATCTGGCAAGTTGGAACAGATAGTCTCATAGAAACGGGCTCCAAACAAAACTTCAGCTGAGACACCTCCCCTCATGAGGATCCACTGTCCTGCCTGGGTTCTATCTGTCCGTCCATCCGAACCAGCAAGACAGAGTTATATAGATGGGATTAGCTGAAGTCTTCCTGGGTTCTCTATAGGTTTGGGGCTCCTAGAAAAAGGAAAAGGCAAATCAAGGGAGATAATAGGACTAGATTTTGGCCCGGACACCTGAGTATGAGGAAGGAGACCCAGCTCTGAGCTTAACATTCCAAGAATGAATAGGGGAACCCAGCTCTGAATGAGCTCTAGCACCCTAAAAATGAGGGAGAGGACCTAGCTCTGGTGCAGGCACATCAAGAATAAGGGAGAGCCCTGACCAGTTTGGCTCAGTGGATAGAGCGTCGGCCTGCGGACTGAAGGGTCCCAGGTTCGATTCCAGTCAAGGGCATGTACCTTGGCTGCGGGCACATCTCCAGTAGGGAGTGTGCAGGAGGCTCTATCCCTCTCCCTTCCTCTCTGTAAAAAATAACTCTCTATCTTTCTCCCTTCAAATAAAAAATAAAAATGAGGGAGAGGACCTAGCTCTGGTGCAGGCACATCAAGAATAAGGGAGAAGCCCTGGCCAGGTAGGTCAGTTGGTTAGAGCATCGTTCCAATACACCCAGGTTGCAGGTTTAATTCCCCGGTCAGGGTACATGCAAGAAAATAAAAAAATAAATATAAATAAAAAGCAGTTAAAAAAAAAAAGAATAAGGGAAGGAGGGACTCAGGTCTGATCCAAGTTATCCCAAGAGTAAAGATAGATATCCAGCCCTGAGCCTAGGACACTGAAAGTGGGTATGGAGTCCATCTAGGAACCCAATACCCTGCAAGAGAGGGAAGGGATCCAACTCTCAGCCCAGGGACTCAAGAATGACAGGTCTGTCCCTGAGCCCAGATATAAGAATGAGGAGACCCAACTATGATTCCCAATACCCTTATGATGATGGGCCTCTGGCTCTTAATCCAGACACCTACAATGAGGGCACACATCTCCAAGGCCAAGCCTCCTGGAGGTCCTACTCACCTGGAAGCTTGTCCACTGGAATCATCGGGGCCAAGAAACCAGGCTTCTGGGGTCCATCCTTCCCATCTGGTCTCAGCCTCAGCCTGGAGCATAAAAAGGCAGCTGTTTTCCTGACAATGTGGGGCATCTCAGTCTCCTCCAAAAGCGTTTATTAGGAAAGGGTTAGGGGAGGAATCAGTGAGAATCATGAAGGTGAGGGGAAGAAAGAAAAGTAGTTCCAGAATCATGTTCAGTGGGAAGTCATGACGAGTAGGAAAGAGTATGGTCTGTGGGTATCAGAGCATCTGTGTGGGATCAGGGGCTAAGGCACCAATGACAGTCACTTACCAGAGCCCCAGTGCCAGGGCCCCAGCTGCCAGGCCCAGGAACGAGAAGATTCCCAAAGATGCTAGGACAGCCACCTGCTCCAGGGGGTCCCTGTGGACTGGGGTGGGGTGGAGGGGGGGGGTCACATGTGAGAGTGAGCCTGACAAAACTCAGTGCCCCCTTCTCTCTGGAACTTTCCCATCCTCTACCATCTTTGCCCCTCCACCCCAGCTCACCAAGTGGCTGTAGGTCTGGCAGGAGGGAGGGCCTTGGGGGAGCAGGGCTGTCTGCTTGCGGCTCCTTCTCCATGTATGGCTGACCCCCAGCTGGTATCTCCTTAGTTAGGGGCCCTGAAGAAAGGCAAGACCTGAGGAGAATTGTCCACACAGGGTAGAGGCAGAGGCCAGGGCCTGCCAGTTGAAGCCAGGGCCTGGCTTGGACACAGGGGCACCTAGGAAGTGGAGCCTGAAAGGCCAGAGTCAATTTATGGAGATGTAACAGGGGTGGAGGCTGAGGGGCAGGGCTTAAGCTAGAACAGGGCTGCAGGCATCCAAGGCTGAAGCCTAGAACAGCCAATTGCCATGCCCACATGGGGGTGGGGGGGGCATGTGCCACACAGCCCTGTTCGTGCCAACCTGTTCAGCTGAGGGTCAGAGCCCATTCCTTGGTTCTGTCTCTCACCAGTGCTCGGGGTCCCCCAGGCCTCAGGGCTCCAGGCGCTCCAGGTGCCAGCATCCAGAAAGTCCCGGGCACTGACCCGGACGGCATGGGGCAGCCCAGCCACAGCGTCTGTGATCACCTCCTCCAATCCAGCCGGCTCCACCTGGCGGTGAAAAGGGTTCATCACCGAGTTATCCAGATTGTAAACACTGAGCCTCCTTGGCCCCGGGCCCCAGTCTGCAAAGAGTACCCCTTCCTCCCTGTCCTGTCCCTGTCAGCCTGGTAGAGCCATCTGGGCCTCAGTAGAGCGGCTGGTGGTGTCAGGTCTACACACAGTGTTTGGAAGACAAAACTATGTAGTGTTTATATAGACCGGCTGTGCTGGCAGGCTGCCTGGGTTCAGATCTTCCTGGGTAACCTTGAGCCCCTCTATGCCTCCGTTTCTTCATTTGTAAAATAGAGATGAAAACACCCAAGTGAAATCATGCATATGGAAATGTGTAGCTTGGTGCCTGGTGGGCAGACAGCGCTCAATAAATATTGGTTATTATCCGAGGCAGCCACTCCCCAGAGGTGATGCGGCCAACCTCTGACATTTCCCGAGGTGGGAATTCACTACTATCTTTATCTGGGAATGAGTGTTGTGTATCTGGGCATATGAGGATGTACTTCTGGATAAAAGACACTTCCAATTTTAGTATATGTGCTGCCGAAGTGAGCACGTCACTTCTTTTCCTAGAAAAGTTATTTTTAAAAAGTTTCTGCTGCCTTCCCACAGATAGGCGTACATTAGAGTTACATCCCACAGGACAGAGGCTTGGTTTATTGCTCCCCGCGGCAACCCCAGCACCCAGCACAGAGCCTGGCCCATGGGAAGCCCTCTCCATGGGGAGGCAACAAGGCTCCAGTGACCTGCCAGTGCCGAAATCCATGCAGAACACCAGAAACATGAAACCAGAGACAGGACCCACAGCCCTGGCACACACCCCAGGCCTCACCATGGACCAGGCGGGATGCTGCACTGGACGGTACTGCAGCCGGAACTTGAGCAGGAAGTGGGGCTGGCGGGGCCAGGAGGCAGGGTATGTCCAGCTGGCACGCAGGCGGCGGGGGTAACCAGGTACTGGCTCTACCCGCAGCCCCTGGGGTGGGTCAGGACGCACTGAGGGTGGTGGAGACACAAAGTCAGGGCAGGTGACAGGTACCCATCCCTTACCCACCACCTCCCAAGGGAAGGTGGGTGTGTGCCTAAAGGTACCTGAAGGAGGCCCTTCCAAGGGGTTGGGGAAATCTTAAGCTTGATCATCCTTTAGGCTCTGGACCTGTCTGTTATCCTTATTATAAAATGAGCTGAGCACTAACTGGTTTGGCTCAGTGGATAGAGCGGCGGCCTGCGGACTGAAAGGTCCCAGGTTCGATTCCGGTCAAGGGCATGTACCTTGGTTGCGGGCACATCCCCAGTTTGGGGTGTGCAGGAAGCAGCTGATCGATGTTTCTAACTCTCTATCCCTTTCCCTTCCTCTCTGTAAAAAAATCAATAAAATATATTTTTTAAAAAATAAATAAAAAATAAAATGAGCTGAGATCGGGAGACAGGTTTTGAAAGCTTTGTTGAGTGGGGAGTTTTTTTGGTTTGTTTTTGTTGGTTTTTTTTGTTTTGTTTTTTGTTAATCCTCACCCAAGGATATTTTTTCCATTGACTTTCAGAGAGTGTAGAAGGGAGAGGTAGAGACAGAGAGAGAAAAACATTGATGTGAGAGAGATACATCAATTGGTTGTCTCTTGCACACTCCCTGACTGGGCCAAGGATTGAGTCTGCAACCGAGGTACGTACCCTTGACCAGAATCGAACCCACAACCCTTCAGTCCGAAGGCCGACACTCTAACTACAGAGCCAAAACAGCTAGGGCTGTTGGGTGGATTAAAAAGTAACCCTGCTTTCCATCAAGGAAGAAGATGAGTTAGCCCAAACTCCAGCCAGAGCTTTAGTGCCCCAGCCCATGAAGAGAGCAAGAGGAAGGAGGGGGCAGTAATGGCTTCCAATGGACAGGGAGGACTTGAGACATGGCTGCCTTCGGCTCAGAGCTCAGAAGCAGAGAAACAGCTCCGAGGCTAGGCAGCTAGGAAGGACTCGAGGGAGTGGGGAGTGGCAACAGCCTCTAGAGCAGCGGTTCTCAACCTGTGGGTCGCGACCCCTTTGGGGGTCGAACGACCTTTTCACAGGAGTTGCCTAAGACCATCGGAAAACACATATATAATTACATATTGTTTTTGTGATGAATCACTATGTTTTAATTATGTTCAATTTGTAACAAGGAAATTGGGGGTCACCATAGCATGAGGAACTGTATTAAAGGGTCGCGGCATTAGGAAGGTTGAGAACCACTGATCTCTTTGGCTTCTTGGTCTCCACAGGGGCCATCTGTGTGCTGAAACAGGGGTCTATGTTGGGAGGGAACGGTCTGGGCGCTCTGGGGAGTTCTGCGTTGGGATATCTGTATGCTGGAGTCTGTTGGAGTCTCTGTGGTTGGGATCTGGGGGACTCTAGGGCTGGGTACTCACAGATGCTCTGCAAGCTCACATCCAGCAGGCGTGTGCTGGCTCCCAGGGGGTTCACCTCAGTCACATTGATTCGGTACTGGCTCCAGAACTCTGCCCCGTGGACCACACAGCGGGCAGCCCCTGGGGGGTCCTGTGGGCACGGCCAGGGCCCTGTAGATGGACTTGTCCTAGGAGAGAGGGAGTGGTCTTGGGCTTTGGAAATGCTCATTGTGGGATCCAGCTGTAGCCCCCAGCCTCTCCCTCATGTCCTACCTCTGGCCATCAGCTCCTGGCACTGTCTTCTTCCTGGCAGGGAGGGGCCATCTGAGGTCAGGCAGGAAAAGAGGGTCCTCCCTCTTCCTAAGGCCTTCCTCGGGACCTCCCGCCCAGCCTCCCAGACCCACATTGTGCTGGCACACTCAAATGTATAGACCTACATGCCCCATCACGCACACACCTGTAGGAAGTAAGGTAGCGGGTAGGTAAACCGCTGACCTGGCCGGGACTCCAAGTGCAGGAGAAGTTCTCATAGTCAGCTGCTCGGCAGGAGACAACAGGCCGAGCGGGGGGGTCTAGAGGCAGAGGGTGCAGCTGGAGATGGAGAAGTCCCCAACCTCCCATCTCAGAGGGCTTACTCAGGACCTTGATTCCCTCAGGAGCCCTGTGTCTCATCACCGCCACCCAATACCCCCTCCCCAACTCACAGCCCAGCTGCAGGGTCACTGTGCCCCCAAGTGCACCATCCAGGGTCCGGCAGGTGTAGGTCCCTTCGTCAGTGCTGTCTGCCTGGGCTAGCACCAGCTCATGCCCTAGCCCAGAGTCAGGGCCCTGGAGCAGCCTTGTCTCCCCGTCCCGAAACCAGGACACGGGGGTCCTGCGGGTGAGACAAGGTGATGATGACAGACCGAGGAAAGGGTTAAAGTGTCAGTCGGACCATGCCACAGCTCTCCGTTGTCCTCTCACTCACTTGCATTAAAACTCAAACTCCTTTTGCTGATTCACAAAGCCTCTGGTAATTTAGCCCTTGCCTTCCATGCCTTCTTCAGCTCCTCCTTCCACCCCCTCACCTACTGTACTCCCATCCTGTCTAGTTGGTCTTTTTTCTGTTTAAGAGTGAGCTCGCCCAGCTGGTGTGGCTCAGTGATTGAGCGTCGACCCATGAATCAGGAAGTCACGGTTCAATTCCTGATCAGGGCACATGCCCAGGTTGTGGGCTCCATCCCAGTGTGGGGGCGTGCAGAAGGCAACCGATCAATGATTCTCTCTCATCATTAATGTTTCTATCGCTCTGTCCCTCTCCCTTCCTCTCTCTAAAGTTAAAGGAAAAAAGTGTTGAGCTCATTCCCACCTCGGGGCATTTGCACTGGCCTTTGACAGAAATGCTTCTACCTCAATCTGTGCCTGGCTGCCTCCTTCCTGACAAATCAGCTTCAAAGTTACTTCTTCAGAGAGGCCTTTCCTGCTTACCAATAAAAAGGAACCACTCAGTTATCCTCTCCCAGGGCACTCTCTTTTAATTTTCTGCCCAGCAGGTATTGCTAGCTGGCAAAATTCTTATTTGCTTATTGTCTGACTGCCCCACTAGGATGTAAGCTCTATGAGGGCTGACGTCTTGCCTGGCTTGTGCACTACTGTATTGCAGGAACTAGAATAGACCAGGCACCTAGCGAGTGCTCAATACATGTTGGTTGAAATTGTCTGATGAATAAGGATGGTTTGAAGATTAGGACAGATACAGAGGTGACAATTACAGACACGGGGCAAAGGTGGGAGGGGCATGAGGACTGGGCAGGGTCAAGAAAGGGTCATGAGTGTCGCCCCAACAGGCAGGAGGGCACTTACCCAGCAGTCACTCCCGGGCAACACAGCGTCATGGACCTTCCAGGCTGTCCATATTGGACCCCTGTGGAGGGCACTTCTGAGGAGAGGCTCTTCCTTTCCCTCTCCCCAAACACCCCGCTTTATGAGAGTGAAGGGGTAAAGAGTAGAGACAGAGGTCCGAGGACAGGTTAGAAAGGGGATGTTGCCAGGTTGAATGTCAGGAGTTTGGGGGTCACAGATCAGATTTGGGGTGGGGGCCACAATGAGGGTGGCAAGCCATAAATCAGAGTTGGGTTCATGCAGCAGGGTTCTCACCTGGGGGGCCCCAGGCCTGGGGACAGGAGGAGGAGGCAGACACTAGGGCTGCAGCCACAGCCACCAAGACCCTGCTCAGCCCTGAACAGCTGCTGCTCATCTGTGGGGAGAGAAGCAGTTTCAGCAATCCCCTACCCCCAAGATAGGAGGCGAACTTCAGCTTCTTCTTCTTCTTCTTCTTCTTCTTCTTCTTCTTCTTCTTCTTCTAAACTGTGGCTTTCCAAGAGGAAAACTGAGGTACCAAGTCGGGTAAGAATATCAGGAATCACTGGGGGATCTGATCTAAGATCCCCCTTTCCACTACACACCCCTGTGCTGTGCATATGCCCTAAGCGCGCGCACACACACACACACACACACACAGTACTGTGTGCACACAAGCACACACACACCCTCACTCTCCATCTCAGTCCTGGGCTTAGGGCCCAGAACAAAAGCTGGAAGCGACAGACTGTGCCAGCACCACCCCCCTGCACCACCCTTGGCGCCCACCCCGGCACCAAGTGCCAGCACTGGCTCAGTCATTCCTATTAACTCCTCCAATCCAGCTGTTAGGAATCCTGGCATCCACCTGGCCCAAGGCTGATCACTGCCTCTGACTGACCTGAGGCAGCCCTCCTGGAGCTGTCATGGTGGGTCTAAGCCCACCCTGTCCTCCTGCCATGGAGCCTAGCCCTGCTCTAGCTGCCAAGCCTTTTCTCGCCTGGGCCTGCCTGGCCTCCTGCTCTGGCTCCTTGGGCCGCTCATCTGGGCCGACTCTGGAGTCTTGTTGGTCTCAAGCCTATGAGGCTGGATGGGGCTAGGGTGCAGGCTCAGGCTGTAGAGTTAAGCAGATCCAGATGCCCTGGCTGCTGCCAGAGGCTGGGGGCAGGCGAGGAGCCAGCAGATGGAGACAGGGTGGCGGGAAAGGGAGAGGAGGCTGAGGGGAGCTGGGAGCCTGCAGGGACAGGGGTCTGGGGTGGGGTCCACAGGACCAGGAGATACTCAGAGATCAGGACTGGGACTCAGTGAGGTGAGAACTGAGCTGGGGCAGGAATTCAGGAAGGCAGAGGAAGTAACCAACTATGTGTATATGGGGTTTGGAAGGTGCTAAGAGAGAGGGATTCTGGATGGAGGGGAAGCAGAAGGAAGGCAGTGGGGAAGTGGCCATGGGGACAGGAGAAGGGCAGATGGGGAAAGGGCCCTGGGCAAGGGCTTCAGAAGAAGAGGAGTACAGACCCCTCCCAAGTAGAGCAGAACAGGGGCCTCCATGTGTCTGTGTGTCTGTCTGAGTGCCTAGTGGCTCACCCCAGGCTCCCCAGCCACATCTACCCTGCTCAGCCCCACCCTACCTCGGTGATCCCAGTGGCTAAGTGTCCATGGCCTCCAAGACTTCCTCCCACCAGCTACAGCACCCGTCTGTGCTCCACAGTTCTGAGACCCCAGAATCATCTCCTCCTCCCCCTTCCCCGCCCCCCCGCCCCCTCTGAGCGCTGGATCTCAGCCACTCATAGCCAAGCCCCCTCCCCCCTCCTGCCTTCATCCGAATTCGGCTCAGCCCTCTCTTCCCAGCCGCTTAAGCACCTCCCGTCCGAGTCCCTGCTATGGGTTTAGGCGCGGGCCGGGGGGGTGGAATGAAAGCCACAGTGCGAGGCTGATGACCCGCCCTAAAGGTAAG